AAAACGTAGCATCTTGCCAAACTATAGTCTGACCAAATATAAGGATGCTGATGTTGACCCAGTCACAACACAGACTATCCCTTTTACTGCCTCAGTTTTCCCATTCATAAAATGGGACTAAGAGGTGGTAAACAGATGTGAAGGAAATGGCTCTGCCAAGTAGGTACAGCTCACTCTGGCCTACTTCTGTCCCCTCGCCTGTCAAAGAGGCATCATTCTACCTTCCACAGTTAAGAAGAGGCTTTTTGTTTTGAGACAGGGTGTCACTCTGTGGCCCAGGCTAGAGTGTAGTGGCATCATCATAGCTCATAGCAGCCTCGAACTGCTGGGGCTCAAGTGATCTCCCTGTCTCAGCCTCACGAGTAGCTGGGACTACAGGCATGTGTCACCATGCCTGGCTAATTGTTCTTATTTTTTTAGAGATGGAGTCTCACTATGTTGCCCAGGCTGGTCTCAAACTCCTAGCCCCAAGCAATCCTCTTGCCTTGGCCTCACAAAAGTGCTGGGGTTATAGGCGTGAGCCGCTGCGCCCAGCCAAAAAGAGGTTAAATGTGAGGAACAGCAGCACCTGGCACAGGGTGAGCTCTCGGTAGCGTGCTGGCCATTCCTGTCTACCTTTGTCGTGGGGAGAGGCAACCAAATGGAACCAGCTCTGCAGGTCTCACTTCCTGTCAACTGTAACAGGCAGCGGCCCCAGGGAAGATGTGCGAAGAGGCGGTGACCTGGCTGTGCCTGCTGGGCTGTGGGGGCTCCTTCAGCAGAGCCCTCAACCTGGGAGGGGGGGTCACAGAATATGGCTGGGGTGACCAGGCAGGCCACGTGAAGAGAACACCTGCTGAACACCTGCCACTCGCCAGCTCTCATGGAGGAGCTTACAAATTCCATGCTGTCATTTCTTCCCCCTTTTACAGAGAACATAACAGGGTGACAGAGGTGAAGTTTCAGGCTATGGTCACCTACTTGGTAAACGGCAGACAGGACTCAAACCTGGGCCTAACAACTCTAAAGTTGACGATCTTTCCACTACACGGTGCCACCTCCCCCTGCAGGCCTCTGAGCACCAGGCACCACACTGGGAAGGTGTGCCCGAGGCTCAGACTGTCCCTGTCCCCTGGTCAAAGTCTAACCAGGAGGCGATGACAAGAGTCCCAGGAATGTTATGGCAGTTGCCATGACCATCGCCATTCATTAAGAAAGGGCTGCAATAGATCCTGACTCCGCTGAGTGGAGACCCCAGGAAGGCCACCCAACGAGGCTGCCCTACCTGCCACCAACTCCTGTGCACACCCCACACCCAGCTCTCTAGGGAACGGGCACATCCTGTGTGTCAGTGCTGAGGGCTTTCAGGCCCAGGTTGCTTTGGGAAGCCCAGGGCCTGGCCTCTCTGGAGGGCTCACCTGCTTTCTGCTGTTGGGTCAGTCTCTGCGGCTGCTCTCGAAGGTCATCCAGGGTTCGCAGCCCTTCCTGGTACCACCGGTCAGCGGTTCTCACACCGACTCCAAAGATCTGAGTGAAGAGCTGTACAGAGAAAGGGCAGCACGGTCGGGGCAGAGCTCTCACAGCGACACAGACGACCGGCTCCCGGAGGGTGTGTCTTGGGCCATGCCACCACAGCGTAGCCTCGAGGAATCACCAGCACCTGGCAGGCACCATCCCCACTCGCAACCTGCCCAAGGCCACAGCGCAAGGATTCAGACTTGGGGCCTGGCTTGCCTTGCCCACCCTCTCAGGCAGTGAGCCCACGTACACCCTGGCAGCAGCCCTAGGCGCAGCAAGGCAGGGGCTGGAAGACTCCAGCGAGCTGCCCCCCACTCCTCTGAAAAGGTCTCTCCCCAGAACTCGCACAGCTCTAGCCCGTGATGCCAACATAACCAAAGTAGTCATCCTGACAAATCGGCACGAGGAGCCCTTAAATCACTGGAAAAACCTGCTTCTCACACCTAATAGCAGCTGCAGCTTGTTTCTGTAGTTCTTCTCCTTAACAAACAGCAAAAACAGCGAGGAGTTGCCAAACAAGAGGGCGGTGCCAGCAGAGGAGCTGGAGAGGCTGGCTGGAGCCGCCACACGTCTCCCTGCACAGCCCTGCCACAAGCATGTCACTTGCCCTAGGTCAGCCACTTACAGTCCCTCCCCAGGAATTTTGGAACTGAGACTGAGGTCAGGCCCACCAGTGGCAGAGGCTGTAATTCCGGGGCACCTTCTGTGGCCATGTCTGTAACCAGAGGAGGAAGCTGGTACGAGTGAGGGTGAAGCCACTGCAGGGAGGAGAAAGAGCGGCCTGGCGACACTCAGATCTGAGCCCGAGCCTCCAACAGACTGGCTGCAGCCCTGCCCTGTTGGGGCATTGCTGGCTCAGCCTTTCCTTGATTCTCTGAACCGAGTATGAGGTGGGTCACTGTCACTCCTAACCAACAGAATGCTGACTAAAAAATGAGGAGATTAATCCAATTATATTGTTAATAAAAACAAACTTCTAATTAGTAACATAATCTTCTGTCAGCCTGGATGTCTTCTGGGACTTTGGGTGTGAGGAGGAGGCAGGGCAGGGGCGAGGAAGGAGAAGGTTCCCACGCCTCTGAGCACTTCCCCCTCCTCCGCAGGAAACCCTCACTGGGGCTGGAGCTGAGGGGAAACCAATCATTAACCCCCTCAACTTCGGGGGTGTGTCATCCCAGTCCCACACTCACTATGGTGGTCCTGCTCATTTAGCCCCTGTCCCCACCGGTGCCCTCTGCCCTGTTCTCTGCCGTTTTTTTTTCTTCTTGAGACAAGGTCTTGCTCTGTCACCCAGGCTGGAGTGCAGTGGTGCTCAAAGGTCACTGGAGCCTCAGACTCCTGAGCCCAAGCGATCCTCCTGCTTTGGCCTCCCAAAGCCCTGGAATTAAAGGCATGAGCCACCGCACTCAGCCATCGTCTTGCCTATTTGAGCCCATCCTTCACACATGACTGGAGCCCCCCTCTTCAAAGCCCCGTCAATCCTGACAACATTCTGTGACCTCCCACTGCACCAACAGCCCCACCCTCCCAGGAAGCCATACTTCACTGACACTCATCCAAATGGCCACCACTGCGACAATCTCTAGCTACCAAACCACATGGCAGGGGGGTGTCAGAGCAGGCACAACCTAGGCATCCAAAAGAGCTTGGGATTGTGTTTCCCTGTAAGATTAGGAGCGAACAGGAACAGAGGGAAAGCGCACCATGGAGACAGGCAGACTGACGACACCGAGACACAAACATGCAAGATCCTGCAGCCAGCCACGCAAGGGCGTGAAGCCCCTTGCACTCACTGGCACCAAGGAAGAGGTTACATTTCGTTAATTGTGCTCTGTTTAAGATGTCACAGCATATAATATACTTGAGACTATTCCATCAAAAATAGTCAAATAAAAAAAATGACAGTGCTGAGTGATCTACAACATTCCATGCTCAAGTCGTTTCTCCCTCGCCTGTCTCCACTTGGCTGCCTTGTGGATATCAGGTGTCAGCTCAACTGCTGCTTCCTTGGTGAGACCTTCCCTGACCCGTGCTGGGTCAGCCGCCCCCACATGCCCCCTAAATGTGAACTGTGCTGCCACGGCCCCCACTGGGGTCCCAGCCCCGCCCCGCGCACCTTCATGGTCTGGTACCTCTCTGAGCGCCGGACTCTCTCCACCTCCTCACACACTCCGTGCTCCAGCAGCTCCTGCGGGAGGGAACAAAGCAGAACTCTAAGCCTGAAGGTGTGGAGAGAAAGAGGTGCAGGGAGTGCGGGTCGGGGCTGGGGGCTCAAGGATGGGGGCAATCCCCCCAACACCCTGCAGAGAGAGATTTGTGGGGTCAGGATCTGAAGGGACTTGGAAATGAAGACTGTGCCCAGGGAGGTGACCAAAGCTGCTGCCACACAGCTGGGGGGTAAGGGCTCCAGCCTCAATGCCCCTCGGGCCCTGGAGTTACAACACCTGAGGCCCCAGGTAACACGGACCATCTCTCAGAGGAATAACAGGTCCCTAGATGTAGCAACATTTGATTTTCAAAATGTGTGTGAATTCAATATGACTTCATTCCAAAGCATCTTGTGTCACTATGTATTCTCTCGATGAAAGTGCACAAAAGGACAACTCAACATGTTGGGTCCTCAAAAAGGGATGCTCATGCTCAGGGTGCTCTCTTCTACTGTCCTGGGCAGTTTGGGACAATGACAACAATGCCAGCTCCAGCTCTGCCAGGCCCCCTGCAGCACCCTTCATTGAATCCTCCAGCCACCTGAGGCAGGCGGATGTTTTACACAGGAAGAGTCTGAGCGCAGAGGGTGGCCTGCTGCGGCCCTGGAGCAGCAGCTACGCCATGGCTGTGTGACCCCACAGCGCCCTCTGCTGTCCCCCCCAGGCCTCTGCACCCCACCCACTCGCCCAGCTCAGGGTGGCCAGCACCTACCTGCACAACCCTGGAGGAATGTTCTCCAAAGTGGGGCAGGCCCCGCAGCTGGCTCAGGGCTATGATAGGTCTGGGAAGGGCCCTGAGCACCGAGGCCGCCCTGTGGAAGGTGAGGCAGCGGCCCTCGCTGCCTTCGAAGCCTGCCGCCTCTGCCAGCGTCTCCAGAGCTTCCTGCAGGGAGGGGCCTTGCTAAGGGGCAGGGTGGGCAGGGTGCCCCCCTCCAACCTGCCAGCTACCAACCATCTGTACCCGCATCCCCGACCCCCAGGCCGGCCCCAGGCTCACAGAAGTGGCTCACCGTGAGGCTGATGTTATGGTGTGTGAGGGGTGTGGGGCGCTGGCAGGCATAGGCTGGCATCCATGCTGGGCTTGGGGGCCTCTTTCTGGATTCCGCCACCTGGGGATGGGCAATGTACAGGCCATGATGAGGCTATAAGGCCGAGAGGAGAGCCAGGCCACACCCAGAGGCTTGTCTGTCCTGGGGCACTCAACTCAGGTCCTCTGGGGATCACAGGATGGAGGTGGGAAATAGAACTCTCAGAGGCGTGGGGCAGAGGGAGGCGCTGCCCTGCAGGGCAGCTAAGGACAGGCTCCTCAGGCCAGAGTAGCAGCAGTGACATCTGCCGACCCTGGTGGGGCACTTCTGCCACTGCATATGCTGCATGTGCTCCATCTCCCCAAATCCTCACAACCAAGTGGGCTGGGGACACTGAGGCCTCAGAAGCCAGGGAGCTTGCCCCATGCCCCACGGCTCAGAGGCAGAGCCAGGATTCAAACACAGGCAGCCTGGGCCCTGAGCCCACACCTGTCATGGGCGATGAACCTCACAGCATCCTGACGGGCTCTTGATGACCCATAGGTCATCCCACTTGGGGTCACCTACTTAGTGAGGAAGAAAGGCCTGAAGAAGCTTTTAAGTGGATGTCAAGAAAATTTGTGCGAGTGGTAAGAACAGAATCTGTGATGGCCTTGCCCCCCAGACCCTGCTACAGTCCCTCTACTGGCTTCTCAGGGCCCACTGGTAGTCTGGGCAGAGCCCTCACTGCCCACCTCGTCCAAAGAGCACTGAGGCACTGCTGCCATGTTACCTGTTGTGGGGGCTTTCTCTGTGGCCCCAACTCTCCTCCACGCCAATCCTCCACCAGGCTCACCTCTAGGCGGTGCCGGCACTCCACAGGTACAGGCTGCCCAGCCGCCAGGCTCTCTGTGAACCAGCTTATGTCCAGCAGAGCTGCAGGGGTGCATCCTGGGGGTGTATCCGCTGTCCTGCGCTCCTGCCAGCAGACAGCCTTCTCCACTGAGGTCTGCTCCATCACGATATGTGTCACCTCGGAGCTGGGCAGAGGGGTGGGGAGGAGAGTGAGGCCCAGAACCCTTTCTGTTTGGCTCCATACCTCCAAGCCTTTGCTCTTGGTGTCACCTCTGCATGGTGAGTGCCCATTCATCCTGCAAATGTCACCTCCTCCAGAAAGCCTTCCCAGCCCCTTCTCCTGGTGGAGAAACACCTCTACCATGCCAGCATCCTCGGAATTGTAGTTCTTTACTTTAGCTATGCTCACAAGCCCATCCCGATTTTCTGTTGTCTATCTCCCTCTCCACCTGAGGCAAAGGAGTTCCTTCACAGCTGGGACCACGTGTTCTTCATCTAAGTGTTGGGGTTTAAGCACAGATGCTGGAGCCTGACTGCTTAGGTCCGAGCCCCAACTCTGCCACATATTTGCTTTATGCTCTTGGGAAAGTCACACCTCTATACTTTGATTTCCCTGTCTGTAAAGCAGAGATAATAACCTACCTACCTCGCAGGCTTGTTGTACAAATAAGATAGTGCTCCCCCCACTCTAAGCTGCTATCATCATCCTCTCCTTGAGTGGGTTTGGTGCACTAATGATTTCTGAGAATGTCCCTCCCCCCGCCAAAAAATGCTGCAGGGGAACACTGGGCCCTAGTTCATTTGCTCTCAATCTCAAAACTATGGGAACCCTCAGATCTCTTACTGTGGGCATTGTCTCTGTAGCTGCCATTTTTTGACCCTCTTGGTCTCCTCCCTATAGGAGAGCCTCACTCAGGTTGCTTCCTCAGGCCTGAGGACAGGGGAAACCGCAGGGTCAGGGCCTCCAGAGAAGTCATTCTGGCTCACAGGGTGAGGTGGGACTTATCCAAAGCAGAAGGGCTGCTAACAACTACTACTACTAACTAATTACCCCTGACCCCAGCGCACGGCTATTTAAAAGCCTGTGGTTTTGATTTTGTGATCCTGCACAACACTCTCGGCCCTAATTAGTAGCCCCCTTTACAGAAGAGGAAATCCAGGCTCAGGGTAAAGTCACACGGCCACGAAGTGCCAGAGCTAACTTAGAATCCAAAACCGCAGGTGCCGCTGTGGCTGTCGGCTGAGTGCGAGTCATTTCCGATTTACAGCCTCAACATCCCCCACTGCCAAGAGGACTCAGGGGCCAGGCGAAAATAAAGCGGCCGGCCTTAAGCCATCGTCCACGCTAAATCATCTCCTGCGGTTCTGCACTCTGAACACAGGCCTCCCACGCCCGCGGCCGGGCTGCCCACGGAAGCCCTCGGCCGCGCCGCCCCGCACCTGCAGGAGTCGAGGACGCGGAAGCCTTTGGAGCGCGCCAGGCGAGTGAGGAAGGCCCGGCGGCTGCGACCCATGCGCCGCTCGACCAGGTAGATGGCAATGCCAGAGAAGCGCGTCGAGGGCGGCGCGGAGGCGGTAGCGCCGCCAGGGGACCCGACCCGCCTTCGCCGCCGTTTGGGGAACATCGGGACTACGGCCCGGCGAGGGCAGAATGAAAGCAAGCGGAAGCCGGAAGGAAGGCGGGAGGAAGCCGGAAGGAGCCTGGCGGAAGCCTGCTGGAAGAGGAAGTGGAGCTCCGCTCCACGCTAGGCCCCGCCCTATGCAAATAAGGCCTCTCCGTGGGATTCGCCCCTCCAACCGATCGGAGCGTTGGGGAGGTTCCGGGCTCCTACGGGATTGGGTGTCTGGGCCTCTCCGGAAGCCCCGCCTCTACATAAATATTATAGGACACGCCTTCTATTTAAATTACCCTCGCGGAAGCGCTGTGGTACCTCGCGGGTTTCCGAACCCGCTGGACTCCGGCGGCACGGAGTAGAGGGAGGGGGGCCTAGGGGCGACTGGGAGTCCTCAGCCGGCGGGATGGAATTCGACCTCGGCCAGGGCCGGGACGGGTGGGCTTCGTCCTCGGCTCGGGGACTGGACCTGGGGCTGAGCTTGGCGGCTCGGGGAGGACGCATGTGGGCTCCCCCCTGTCCCTCTGTGCTCGGGATGGTCACATGGAAGCCCGCGGGCGCGGGGACCCGTAGTCCGCGGAGCTGGACAGACACGCGAGTTTCGAATGCACTGGTGGAGCGGTCGCTTCGAACACACGGGGAAGGTTTTTCAGTCGAGTGGATTTTGGACAACTGGCTTTCTATTTGGAAAAATAGAAGTTGGCGCCCTCCCTCACTCCTTAACACCAAAATAAATTCCAGATGGATCAAACATTTAAATCTAAAAAAGGAACCAAAAACTTACTGGAAAAAAGTCAATGAATGCTTTGAAGATTTAAGTGTCACAATAAACTTGGAAACACTAAAGGAAAAGAATGATAAGCTGGACTACACACAAATTTAAAATATGTTTAAAAATTAAAGTCAAAAGACAAACTGGGATAAAGTGTGACATATTTTGGAATTAAGACTAATTTTCATAATCATAAAATTGTCCAGAGATAAATAAGAAAAAGACATTGATCTAATAGAAAAATTGGCAAGGAAACTTCTGTAGGTGATCCTCAGAAGAAATCCTAGTCAATCCATTTATGGCCAGAGGACCCAACCTGTTCAGTCATTAGAGAAGAGCAAATTTAAATGAGACTATTTTCAGCTGTTGAATTAAACATTTAAAAAGTTGAACGCATACATTGAAAGTGTGAGGGAATTAGGAATCTGCAGGAGGGAATTTTTGGAAGCCAATTTGGCAACTATAGCCAACAAAATGAAAACAAAATCATACACATTGATCCAGCAATTCCTTTTCCAATTGAGATTGCATTGAATCTATGGATTGGGAAAAACTAACACCTTGACGATACGGAGTCTTTTGTCCATCTGTCTCATTTGGATATGCTGCATTTGGGATCTCTGCCACAGCGGGGTAGCCCTGCTCAGTCTAACTGATGGGCCAAGCCAGATCAGATGTGACCCCCTTTCTTATAGCTTCCATCACAGCTCCGTGGTCTGTCACTCCTCAATCTAGGGCCCCATGCTCCCTGAGTACCTATCCTCTTCTCCTCTGGCCCTTTCCCATCATCTTCAGTGGGCCCAGGGCTTGAGGGGAGGGAGGCAGGCGGCCAGCCCAGGCATCCTCTTGACCTCCTGCACCTTTGCACAGCCTGCCGACCACCCACTCTCCCCTCCAGGCCTTTAGAGCTTCCTCGGCCTCAGGACCCCCAAAGAAGCCAGGAGGCCAGTGTGTAGTGCCTCTCTTCCCACCATCTCCTAGTGCCAGCAGGGATAGCAGAGAGAGGGAGCTCCCAGGGTTAGAGCCTACATTCTTCATCTGTGAGCCCTCCTCAGGGAGTAGCTCTGCCTGAAAGTCATCTCTAGCTGTCTATTCCCTAAAACCATTTCCTTTCCCCTTACTGTTCCTCTCTCTTTGGCCGGGGCATCTGGGCTCCTCTTTCCCCTTGGAGCCCTCATTCTCTCCTGGGAAGGCAGAAACTGCTTTTAATGACCCGTCAGACGTGAATTCTTAAAACAGTGCGCAACTGTGCAAAAATATTTGTGCAAGGAATTTCATCAAGTGACACTGGAAGAAACTGCCTGGCTTAGAAATCTGGGTGGTTGCTGCAAAGTGTCTGCCAGGATCCCATGGGGCCAAGGGAGTCATCAGGAAGATTGGCCAGAGGGGGTTGATGTGGATGTGGTGGGGAGGTGATGAGAGAGGACCTTGCCTCCTTTGCAGATGAAGGTGTGCTTTGGGGAGAGGTGGCCTGCCAAGGGGGAGGGGGAGTTAGGAACACGATTTTCTTCTTGTGAGCATCTGCTCAGAGTGCACTGTGAGTGTGGTATGAGAGTCCAGGGTGTGTCCTGGGAGAATGAGCAGAATAAAGGACTGGGTCTGCAACTGGGTCGGAGGTGGTCACCTCTGGAGGACCTGGGGAAATGTCCCTGCTGGAGGGTATGGAGGGGACAGTGTCCTTGCAGGAGGACTGGGGTGTGGCACAGGGGGAACTATGCTAGGGCTGAGAGTATTCCTCGGGCTGGAGGTGGCTTTTGCAGCAGGCCTGGAAACAGGAGGCCGAGCCCCTGGGGCAGGTGAGGACTTGGGTGTGCCCAGGAGGCACCTTGAAGGAGTTACTGAATGTAGACTTCTAGGTTTTCTCCAGCACATTTGGAAACAGTCTTTGGGTTTCCATCTTCACTGTTCTGTGGTCTGTGGTGGTCACTGTGGAGGCAATGAGGAGTGGGTCTGGGGACGGAGGGGGCTGCCACAGGGGCAGCGGTGGCCAACACCCGAGGCCCAGACCATCAGAATTGGCCAGCAGCAGTGAGATACCTCCCCTCTCCTGTGTACAATAGAGCAGGGTGCACCCAAAACCTCCGAATAATACTGATTCCTGGGCCCCTCCCCACATAGTCTGATTTAATTGGCCTGAGTATGGCCTAGGCATTGGCATTGGCATTTTTTGTTTATTTTTTATCTTTCATAATTATTCTTTATTTTTCCTTGCAGCTTCAGCTCAAAGGAGGCATCGACATTTTTAAAGCTGACGAGAGCAGAGGGCTGTGTATATAATGTGAAGCTGTTTTTGTAAAACCATGTTTTTATATGTATGATATACATGGAAAATATAGTAGCAACATGGCTAAGAAGATGTTTGCTGTGGTTAGTGGAATTGTAAATGCTTTACAATTTTTTCAGTTTCTTTGTACTTTCTAAAATTTCTGCAAAGGGTATAGATTACTTGGAAGGAAGGGAAGGAGGGAGGGAAAACAAGTTTCCATTCTCATTTTGTGGACGAGGAGCCTCTGTCTGAGTGGGCAGTATCAAGACACACACTCAGCCTCCTGGCTCAGAGTCCAGAGATTGTCTTTGGAGATGTCCCAGATGCCTGCTCTGCCTGCTCCACGTGGTCCTCCAGGAACACAGGCCCAGGGGTGCTGTGAGAGAGGGCAGTGGGCAGGGCCCAGGCATGGATGGGTGGGTGGGGTGCGCCCCCCCTCCCTTCCCTGGACCCCCAGGCTGCTGTCAGGAAGTAGAGACCTCAGCCCTCTGTTTTGCGTGGGCTGTTCCAATAAACTTGGCTCAGGGGTTCCCTGAAGGCCAGGTCCCCAGCCTCCTGCTCCCTCCTTTCAGACCGCCTCCCAATAAGTCAGAGAGGCTATGCAAACAACCTCCCAGCTGGGCCCTTTCTGCTGCCCTCTCCCCTCTCCTGAACCATGGCTATTCCTGCCCATCCCTCACTTATGCTTTGAATTATTTTTGCCCAGATGTATGAGTTTGCATTTTTCCAAGATGAATCTCATCCAGCCTATTTCCTGTTCCCACTTCCAGCTGGGAGAGGCCCCTTGGGGTGAGTCTTCAGTATCCCCGACATTCCCAAAACCTCCCTGTGGCATACGCACCTCCCTTGAACTTCATTTTGGTGTTTCCACTTGTGCTTGGCCTGGCTGGAGGCCTGTGGGGCCGGGACTCTGCCCTGGCTCTGGGGCCCTCCCCTGTCTTCGTTACCTCCCTCCCGCGGCGCTGGCCAGCAGCATTCAGGGGGCGCGTGTGGCCAAACTGCTGATGCCGCTGGACTCCAGCTCCTGAGGCCTGCTGGCCCGGGCAGTGCTGGCCCTGGGCCTCCCCTGAGCTCTTCTGTCTGTCGCGTTGCTGTGGGTGCGGGGAGCCTGGTATATTCCTATCCTGTGACTGTTGTAGCAATTTAGCACAAACTAGGCAGCTTAAAACAATAGAAATTTATTGTCAGTTCTGGAGGCCAGAAGTCCAAAATCCAGGTGTCAGCAGAGCCACACTCCCTCCCTAGGGGAGGATCCTTCCCGGCCTCTTTCTGCTTCTGGTGGCTCCTGGCCCCCATCTTCACCCCTGCTTGCAATGGCCACCTTCCACCTGGGTCTCCAGTGTCCGAACGTGAAGACACTAGTCTTAAAAAGACACTAGTCATTGGATTTCGGCCCACCCTAACTCAGGATGATATTATCTGAAGATTCTTATCTTAAATACATCTGCAAAGGCCCTTATGCCAAAGAAGGTCATATTCTGAGGTTCTGGGTAGACATGAATTTGGGGGGCTACCATTTAACCCACTACCCTGGGTCCAGTTTTGCTCTGGGCTTACCTCTGGATTCTGTGACCTGGAGCAAGTGGCTGCTTTTCTTTATCTGTATAGATCCATCAGAGCTGCAGGATTTGGATTTTTGACAGAAGATGTGCTAGTGTTGGGGACGTGGCTTGCCCAGGGTCTGGCTGGTTATGTAACAAAAAGAAATGCTTTATTTCTGAGAAACTATGAGTGCCTTTTTTTTTTTTTTTTTTTTTTTGAGACAGTCTTGCCCTGTTGCCCTGGCTAGAGTGCAGTGGTGTCATCATAGCTCAGGGTTACCTCAAACTCCTGGGCTCAAGCAATCCTCCTGCCTTAGCTTCTGGGAGGAGCCGGGACTGCAAGGCGTGCATCACCATGCTCAGCTAATTTTTTCTATTTTTAGTAGAGATGGGGTCTCACTCTTGCCCAGGCTGGTCTTGAACTCCTGACCTCAAGTGATCCTCCCACCTCCCAGAGTGCCA